GCGGCTCCAGCATGTTTGAGTGGCCGGGAAACCCGACGGCTCAAGCATCAAAACCTCGGAAGCTCAAAGGCTTCCGAGCACAACCACACACAGATCTGGAGAAGGGGCAGAAGGAGGAGAGAAGTTTTTATTACAAGATTTAACTTGTTCTTTACTTTAATATCTTCGTAATTTTTTTGACTAAGGTTGCAATTTTTGGAGGAGGGGGGAATCGAACCTCAACCCTATGGGATGCACATTTACAAGCCAGCTTATGGTCGTTGGTCCATGAGGCGCAAGTGCTAATATCTTTCTAATTGTTATGTGGTTACAATTTATTTTCTATTTATATAAATGAAAAAAAAAAATCATGTTAACAAACAAAAGCATAGGTCCTCAACTTTTTATATTTTTTTACTTTATCCTTAAATTTTAAAATTCTACAATTGGTCCTTAATTTTAAAATTCTACAATTGGTCCTTAATCTACTAGGTTATTCATCCCAAAATGAATTAATACATTTAAAATGATTAATTATAAAAAAAATACTCTAAGATATATAAAAGTTAATTATTATTATACAAATTTATAATTAATAAAAATCTAAAAGAAAAATACAAACGATCTACACAAAACATATGTTGAGATCTACTTGAAACTAAAATAGAAATGAAGATTTGGGAGTTGGGAGTTCGGACTAGAAAATGAAATAGATGCAGCATACTAGACATTGAGCAATCTATTGAAGAGGATCCCAAATGTGCTTGTCCAACATAAAGTTGATTCAATCAAACTAGTCACCAATAGTTAAAATTTTTAAATTTATTATTTTTTAAATTAGAAGTTTTAAATTTAAACTTTTAAACAAGAAAAGTAGTTTAGCAATGGAGAACTTAGGCACAAAAAGATGATTTAATACTAAATGTAATTCTTAAGTTGTGCCTCGATGCACTTTTTTGGATCTTATGTGATTATTGTTTTTTGTTAGTTCTTTAACTTTATAGTCTATACTTTTATTTTATCCTAAGTAATTTTTTGCATTTTTTAGTCTCTTAACTTAATAATGTACACTTTTTTTACCTTAATACTTTCATCAATGGAAGTTCAAGTCATTTATTAAGTTGATTAAAAAATTTATTTTCTCATATGAGAGGAAGGGGATGATTAGCCATCATCAAGATCCCCCTACAAAGAGAACAAGTAAAGAAACAGGAGGAGGAGAGAGAGGGTAGGGGAGCAAGATCAAAGTTTTCGGTCCAACCAAGCAATTTTGTACACATTGAAGAGAATGACCCTATCAAACGTGTACACATTGAAGAGAAAGGTGTTAGTAACATGCACACATCATTAATAGTCTTAAAAAATTAATTTATTAACTAACATAAAGGGCCACATGGACTTCCCTTGACTGAAAGATGAAAAAAAGAAAAAGAAAAAAAGCAAACGTTATCAAGTTAATGGACTAAACAAGTGCATGTTATCGAATTAAGGGACCAAAAAGACATAAAATCATTCAGGGGCTAAAACAGTTTATTGAGACAAAGTTTAGTGACCAAATTTTAGCATTAAACCAAAAAGGTTTTTTAACCTGTTCCTTAAACATAATTAATACACTTTTTAATATTAATTAATATTAAAAATAATAAAACTTGATATTAATTTTATTACTTATACCATATGAAATATTTTAATTAAGTAATTAATTAAACAAAAATTAATTTTATTTTTTAATAATAGTTAATATTAAAAAAATTTTAATCACTATCTTAACACTACTGTTAGAAAAACCTTTTTTTTTTAACAATGGGAACAATTATTAGTGGTTAGTATCTATTTTAAAGTCAACATCAAAGCCGAACTTAGATGAACTTTATTTATTATTTGTGAAATAACGTGGTTCATCTATTAGATTACATAAGAAGTTTATGTTGAAAAAATAATAAAAGAACCAACTTCAAAGGTGGGACCCACTGGAGAAGGAGTGGCAATTTAGTAATAATCAAATAAAACCCGTTACCTACATGTCATTTAGGGGGCGAAGAAGGAAAGAAGCTTACCACGTACACGTTTTTAGGTTCCGCTTCCGCCCCCTGTCATTTCTGGTCTTCCTGCACGCACACAAGAAAAGAGGTGGAGAGAAAGAGAGCGAAACCAGGCGGCCTTCTTCTATATAACGTCCCGAACACGCTCTCTTTCTCTTCTCCTAAGTTCTCTTCACTTGTCTTTCTTGTTTCTTTCTAGGGAGGAGAGAAGAGAAAGGGTTCAAGAACCCAGAACAAGGAAGGCTCTCTGTATCTCCAAACTTCTCCCGCCATGATCTCGATAAGCAGATGCTGTTTTCTGGTAATATACAACAACCCCATTTGTGTTTTGACATTTTCAATCACGAAATCATGAATTTTATTCGAAAGTCATGAAATTTACCAGTTTTTGTTTCTGGGTTCATCTCTGTGGTTCTGAAAATCAAACAAATTTAGTTCTTTTCCTTCCCCTTTTTGTTTTGATTATTTTGTTTTCTGGGCGTTGCTTTCCATGTGTTTAACCTTAAAAAAGAAGGAGGAGGAGGAGGAGGAGGAGCAGGATTTGGAATTCAGCTAATTTTAATGTGAATTCTAAAAGAAGAATAATAATAATGTGTCGATCACATTGAGTTTCCATTTTTAGGTGATTTTTAGGATCTTCCAGCTTAAATTAAAAAAAAAATCGGAATTGGATTTTTCTCTGTTTTCTGGATTTTCTGATAAAAAATTTTATTCTGGGAAGCAGAACAATGTGGGAATTTCTGGGTCCTGCAGTCCCATTACTTACAAGCAGAGGAGGCTGCTCCCAACTTCAGTTAGAGTGTTAGCTTCGGGTCCTAACCGAGACCGCAATGGCAGCCTCCTGACGGAGAGCACGTTGAAGGAAACCAGACAAGATGTCGCCTCTGTTCATCAGGTGGACTCTAAAACCACCGTCTCCGATGGCGTCCACGATGTCTACGAGGAGGACGCCGCCACCGAGGAACAGCTTGTCACCCCTTGGACCTACTCCGTTGCTAGGTTAAACTCTGGCTTCTTGCCCTCGATGATATCAATGTTTTGTTGTTGGTTTTTTTTTTTTATTGATTTTTTGTTGATTTTAAGATTGTTATTATGGGTTCTGTTTTAAGATTGATCTATGCTTTTGTGCTGCAGTGGTTATTCTTTGTTGCGAGATCCACACCACAATAAAGGGCTTGCCTTCAATGAGAAAGAGAGAGATGCCCACTACTTGCGTGGTCTTCTCCCTCCAACTGTTATTTCTCAAGAACTTCAGGTGTCTAGAAAGCTTGCGGATGCTTTCACTTAATAATCTCTGTTTGTCCCTTGAATGCTGTTGGTGTAGCAAATTTATATGGATTTAGTGATCCTTGTTTTACCGTTCTCCAGGTGAAGAAACTAATGCACATGCTCCGCGGATATCAAGTTCCTCTGCAGAAGTACATGGCCATGATGGATTTTCAGGTAGTGTTTCACAAATTTTCCATTCCATTGATTTCTTTTCTTTTTGTGAAATCATTGCTGGATGCTTATGAGTTTTCATCAAATCTGGAATTGCATGGTATTCTAATGTAACTTGGTTCTTCCACATTTAATTTTAAGCTTCCATGTCATTTCCCTTTCTGTCATCATTGGCTTCTTTATTTTATTACTTGATCGTGAAGACTCCCAATATTCTAGTTTATTTTGATTGGACAGTTTTAATGCATCCAAATTGGTTCTGTTTTTTTCTTTTTTCCAGGAGACAAATGAAAGGCTGTTCTACAAACTTCTCATTGACAATGTTGAGGAGTTACTCCCAGTTGTCTACACTCCAACTGTTGGTGAAGCTTGCCAGAAATATGGGAGCATCTTCTTACGTCCTCAGGGTCTCTTTATCAGTTTGAAAGAAAAGTATGTTCCATGGACTTGATATTTGCTTAGAATTTTTAATTAGTTCTTCTTTAGTATTTATGTTGAAACTGATAACTGCCATATACAGGGGGAAGATTCTTGAGGTTTTGAGAAATTGGCCTGAGAAGAATATTCAAGTTATTGTTGTCACTGATGGGGAGAGGATTTTGGGTCTTGGGGACCTTGGTTGTCAGGTATATTTCTCTGAATTTGCAGGTGGAGAGTCTGGAGACTTAGCTGATTGCTGCACCTCTCTCTGTTCTTTCATACGTAATTGACTCTAGCTAAAACTTGTGTTCTCAGGGGATGGGAATACCTATAGGGAAACTTTCATTGTACACAGCGCTTGGAGGAGTTCGTCCTTCAGCTGTAAGTATCCATTTCTATCAAGGTTGTTGCTGCTTGAAATTGAGTTATATGCACAATCTGTACTCAAATATGTGGCTTATTTGGTTGTTTTTTGACAATTTTTTTCCTGTATTACACCAAACAAATGGTTCAAATTTCGTTTTTCTCCTTTATTATCTCTTCTTTTGAAACAATTTGTCTTAATATCATTTTTTTTTTCATGATGTCTTAATTACATGATTCCATATATGCAGTGCTTGCCTATTACCATTGATGTGGGCACAAACAATGAGTGGTTATTGAATGATGAGTTCTATATAGGGCTTAGGCAAAGGAGAGCTACTGGTCAGGTTGGTTATCTAAAAGTAGAAACTTGCTTGAGGTTGACTTCAGATTCAATTGAATTTTTGTGGCACTTAAGTGTGTATGCTCTTGTTCACTCTAGGAGTATGCTGAACTTCTACACGAGTTCATGACTGCTGTCAAGAAGAACTATGGGGAGAAAGTTCTTATTCAGGTAATTGCAATTTGTGGCAAGAGAGTTTAATTTTTTTCTGGAATGCTGAACTTATATGCTACTTTTAAACATAAGCATAGTATATTCAAATCTGTATTCATTATTTTGCAGTTTGAAGATTTTGCAAACCACAATGCTTTTGACTTGCTTGAAAAGTATGGGACAACTCATCTTGTCTTCAATGATGATATTCAGGTTGGTTATTTGGCTCTTCTTATGTCAAATAATTGAGCTTAACATATCTCTAATTTTTAGAGCAATTTTCATTCCAGGGAACAGCATCTGTTGTCCTTGCAGGGGTTGTTGCTGCATTGAAATTAGTTGGAGGAAACTTAGCTGACCACAAATTCTTATTTCTTGGTGCTGGAGAAGTGAGTTTATGTCCCTTAATGAAACACTGAACCAATGTTTGGTTTATTCTAAAGTTATTTTAATTTCACCATTATCATCTCTAGGGAAATGGATGATTTCAATTCATTTCCCACAAAGAAGCTATAATTATCTTGCGCACATGATGTAGTTGCCTACTCTTATGTATTTTCTGTTGACTTCCTCTGACCAACTTTCCACATGCTTCACTCTTACTGTTATTGATTTCCATGCCTTACTATTTATTTGGTGATTTACAGGCTGGAACTGGAATAGCAGGACTCATAGCCCTTGAAATATCGAAACAGGTTATAATCTACTATTAACTGTTAATGGTCATGGCCTTCACTTGACACATTTTCTATAAGTTTTGGATGTGAATTTAGTTTTAGTGCAATTGGAAATGAGACTTGAATTTTATGCAGACAAATATGCCACTAGAAGAGGCTCGTAAAAGGATTTGGCTCGTGGATTCCAAGGTAGTGGGAATCTGATATAGGTTATTGTTACGAAGCAAAACACTTCAAAATTCTCTTGTTTTATTTGCATCCAATGAAAGTTGTGCTAAACTTGTTTGTAGGGTTTGATTGTTAAATCTCGTTTGGAGTCGCTTCAACATTTCAAAAAGCCATGGGCTCATGATCACGAGCCTATCAAGGAACTTGTGGATGCTGTTAATGTAAGAAAACTTTCTTCCATTTCTCTCCTCCCTCCCCTCTTCCCACAATGTAAAAGGGAGAAGGAGAATGAATTCATTAATCTATTACTTATGATCTATTACTTATGATCTATATGTTTTGGCAGGGAATCAAGCCTACAGTGTTGATTGGAACATCAGGGGTAGGAAGAACCTTTACTAAAGAAGTTGTTGAGGCTATGGCTGCCTTGAACAAGGTATATCTTATTCTTAATTTGTCTATGATAACTTGCAGATTGGAAAAATTTTTGCCCTCTGCAAACACTAAACTGACCCCCTCCTTTTGTGATTGCATTCAGAAACCTGTTATTTTTGCTCTATCTAATCCAACTTCACAGTCTGAATGTACTGCTGAAGAAGCTTATACATGGAGCAAGGTATAATATGAGCATGTAACTTATTGCTTCTCAGTTTTCTAGTCATCAAGAATTTATCCTTAACCTTGAAAGAAGCTCCTTTGTTCTCTGTGCTTTCCGCTTGACATCATATTGTTTAAGTTTTTATATTATTAGAATACCATCAAGCAATTGACTCTCCCTCGTTACTTGCAGGGACGAGCCATTTTCGCTAGTGGGAGTCCGTTTGACCCTGTGGAGTATGATGGAAAGGTGTTTGTGCCTGGACAGGTACCTTCCAGAATATAATGGAGCTTTTTTTATATTTTTTGGCTATCAACGAAGCATGGATCTTTAATAGTACCATTCACTCAAGGCTCAGGACTGATTTCGTAATATACGTTTCTTTCAGGCAAACAATGCATATATCTTCCCCGGGTTTGGTCTTGGTTTAATAATGTCTGGCACAATCCGTGTTCATGATGACATGCTTCTTGCGGCCTGTAAGCACACAAGGATTAAGAGTTGCTTTTGATTAGCATCATGATTCTACGTAGTCATTACATCTTTGTTTTGATTTTATTTTTTGTTTTTTGGTTTTTGTTTTCTTTTTGGTGGCCCAGCCGAAGCTTTGGCTGCACAAGTAACTCAGGAGAACTTTGACAAGGGACTCATATACCCACCATTCAAGAACATTAGAAAGATTTCAGCACAAATTGCTGCTAAAGTAGCTGCTAAAGCATATGATCTTGGTAAGTACCATTCTGACTACTTATCTGAAATCTGCACTCAGAACTCTAGTTTCTCCATTGTAGATACAATTACACAATTGTCTTGCTTGCAGGTTTGGCTACTTGCCTCCCTCAACCTAAGGATCTCGTGAAACATGCCGAGAAATGCATGTACAACCCTGCCTACAGGAGCTACCGGTGAAGTAGCTTGAATATTTCTAACTGGATGCTGGTTGTAAAACGGTCTCAAACCATATAAGCATCTATAGTTATTTTCCATGTACTTTTTCCAAATTTTTTGGTTTTGTTTCGCCCCTTTTGTTCTTTCTTCGCAGCCCTTTGGTGGTTTGGTGAGAAGAAGCATAGTGGGTGACCATGGTAGTTAGATCAACCAATATGGAGTAAAATTACAGCATGGAAATGTTGTCTCTGAACCATAAATCCTTCAGATGAAATAGAAATTTCAAATTATCAGAACTTATGAAACTTCTTTTTTCCATATTTTCTCTTTCTTCTTTCTTGGTCAAGCAAATTACAAAAGTAAATATTAATTTTAAGAAAAAATGTATATTAGTTTTGATTTTAAAAATAATTAAAGTTTTAATTTTATATTATGTTGTTTTATTTAATTAAAATTTAAAAATATATTTTATTAAATATTAATTTATTAAAATATATAATAGTTTTCAAATTTAGATATCAATGGTTAATAAGATGAAATTTCAGTTTTTAGATATAAATTAAAATTTTAATTATATTTTAGAATTGGAGTTGTTAGGTACTAATTTTTATTTTTAATTCATAGGATGACTAAATTAGATTATTGATAAAATTAAAATGAAATTTTATCTTGTTATGTAAATTAATCTTGAAAGAGCTCAATAAATATATCTTTAAAATGAATGTATATTATTTTAAAGTAATGATAAGAATGACAAATTTAAAATCAATAATGTAGTTTATGCCACGTCTTTAAATTAGGGGTAATGATATAAAGGACAAAAAAATGATATGAATTCATTAGATTAATGACACGAAGAGAATGTAGGAAAGAAGTGAGACAAATGTGGATTTTATTTTACTAATATATTATTGATGTGATAAGTCAGCTTGAAATTGTCTCATGTAATCGTTTTTATTTTTTTAATTTTTTTATCATTATTTTTAAAGTTAGGTAATGTATATAATATTATAAATTTTTAAAAAATAACGAGACAAATGTGGATTTTATTTTACTAATATATTATTGATGTGATAAGTCAGCTTGAAATTGTCTCATGTAATCGTTTTTATTTTTTTAATTTTTTTATCATTATTTTTAAAGTTAGGTAATGTATATAATATTATAAATTTTTAAAAAATAACGAGTTAATTATTAAATAATATAAAATTTATTTTTAATAATTTAAATAATATAAAATTTATTTTTTAATAATTTAAATAATATAAAATTTATTTTTTAATATTTTAAATAAAATGACATTATCTCATTATTCTCAAATTAAATTTGGTCTAAAATTTTCATCTATTATTATTATTATTTAATGATATATAAATTTATAATTGAAAGAGGATGATTCAATAATTAAAATTTTAAATTTTTACTTTAAAAATTTTAAATTTAAACCTTAAAATCCACTAGGGAAATGGAAAAGGATATTTCTTCTTTATACCCATTCAGATGTACAGATTTATGACGCAGACCGAAAATGCAGCATCGAACTAATACATAGGGCCTAAAAAGCCCAAACTTTTTCTTTCTACATAAAAAACTGCCCTGACTGAAGGGGCTTCTAGACCCAATACCAATAGGCTGAAATTCATTTTTGCTTAATTTTCACGGCGAAAATCGGAGAGTTTACGCTTCTTCGGTTTTTCCTCAACCACCTTCATCGTCTCTATTTAAGGATTTCACTTTCTTCAAATTTTCGTGCTCGGAAACCATGCCGGATGAAGCAAAAGCTTTCTTCTGTTTACCGGAGGAACTCTTCTACACGATCCTTCACAAGCTGCCCATCAAATCCCACATTGTATGCATTTCCGTCTGCAAAACCTGGAATTCCATTATCGAAAGCCCCTCCTTCGTTTCGTCCCACCTCAGCCACACCATCCCCTCCTACAAGGAGAACGACACCCACCTCTGCTTTCTCCAGATTTGCTCTATAGACCCAACAGAAGACCGCTTCTCCTTGCGGTTTGACGACCAGGACCTGACCGAGTGCACCTCGCTTCATTTCCCTTACAGAGCCAAATATGGATTTCAGGTATTTGGGTCTTGCAATGGATTCGTATTACTAATGAATGGTAAGTTTGGTACGTTTCCTGAGCGTTTGATTTTATGGAACCCCATTGTTAGAAAATCTTTGATTATCTCAGAAAAAGATCTTAGTGCGTTAGCAGTGGCTGGGCTAGGGTTTGATTCTAGAGCTAATGACTATAACGTGTTGACTGTTTCTCGTATTATGCAGAAGGACAAAGCTTTAAAGTTTGAGCTTTATTCACTCAATGCTAATTCTTGGAAACAGCTTGATGATGTTGAAGCTATCAGTCATGGGTCGGTGGTTGTTGCACATAGGGAGATGGCTTTTCTTAACGGAGTTCTCCATTTTGTTGCATTGAGGCAGTGCAGTGGAGGGAGGCCTCCCATGTACTTGATTTTGGGGTTTGATTTGGAGGGAGAGGTTTTTCAAGAAATTATGTTACCGGATAGTAGGGTTCGTAATTACACAGGACCTAAGGTGCAGGTGTGCGGGGAATCCTTGGCAGTTTTCAGATTGAATTCCACTAATGATGGAATGGATAGTATATTAGAAATATGGGTGATGAAAGAATATGCTGTAGAAGGGTCATGGACTAAACTGTCAAATATTAGTCTGGGAGGCTGGGCAACGGTTTTGGGTTTTAGAAAGGGTGGCCATGTCTTACTGAGTATGAACAAGGGCTCTAGGGGGATAGATAAAGTTGGACAGATGGTTTCATGTGATCCAAAGAGCCAAGAGATCAAGGATCTAAAGATTTGTGGGAATCATTATTGTTTTTTCTTTGATAGTTTTGTGGAAAGCCTAATCCTTCTGGATAAAGGAAATGACTTGAGTAGGTACTTTGAAGTTGAATCTTGCTGCGTGACAGGTACTTCAAGCAATGCAACCAGTTCAAGAAATGCCATGGATTTTGTGCATGATGACTAAAGTGATGAAGAAAGTGAGGATTTAGGGGAAGATTCAGGTGAAAGTGCAAGGATTTATTCAAGTGGAGAAGCAGGTGAGGATTGGTTTCAAGCCGATGATGTAGCTGATGATTCAAGTCTCCATGCCATTGATGATTAGGTGGCAATGCAGGCAAATGGAAGATGCTTGGGTGATTTAGGTTTTCTTGTTTTGTACTCTCAGCGATAAAATGGAAACCAAATAGGTTGATGTAGCTATGGAGCATGTATTCATCTATAGTTATGTTGGGTCTAAATTTATGCTATGGTGGACATTTTATCTATCCAAAAAGCCTTAGCACATATGGAGTGTTGCAATATTATCTAAGTTCATGTTTAAAGTTTCATGTCTACCCTGTTGCTATATGTTGATAAGTTCATTTCTACTGTTTCTTGCATTATTGCCACCCTTATTCTTGCCATGACACAAATGGGCTGAGGATTTCATAGCTTCTGACATGATAATTTGTTTATTTGCTTGTTGTATCACAAAGAATTGGAGTGTTTCAGGTTTTGTCACAATAAATTTTCTTTTAATATATAATGAATCATATCGTCTGGATAAAGGCCAGATAATGTCTCTTATCCTTTAAGTTGCTCTAGCATTAAATGGGCAAATTGTTGATGCCTTGAGGACGTATGTGATGAAATCAAGCAAGCTGGGGACAATATGGAGCCAAAGCTGACATACCTCTCATTGTAAATTCTGAACAGAACCTTCATATTAGTTTTCCTGTATGGTTGCTGTGATCTTATGGTTTATTTCTCTTGATTGTCTTGTAGGAGTATCTTCATTCCAAGAGATACTTGGAGGAATTGCATGATCAACGTTATTGGATGGATGGTTGCTGCAGAGTTGTCACATTTTGTCTTAAAAAA